ACATTGTTATTAATTTTATCAGTAGCATACCATAACAGACATAATAAAATAACGAAACTGAAATTAATTGATTTATATAATTTTGATACGTTTGATTGTTAATAGGATCGAATCACTCAATTGAATTTTTATTCATAACAATCATAGAATTGAAGTCAGAATATAAATATTTATTATTAATCTTAATTATGTAGCTTTCAATAACTTTATGACAAATCTCCACTCATACGGTCTCACCCTAATTTTTTGTATATTAAAAAAACACAATTTTTTGTAATGAAAAAATGAAGAAATTATTATTACTATTATCATCTATACAATATACATCCATGATAAATTATATTTTTAATTGACAGGTAAGTCATTTACTTTTGAAATAACTTATTTACAGGGAAACCAAAAAAAGGATGAATAATGGAACAGTATTAACAATTTAAAGTAACTAGAATTTTTTAAAAAGAATAACATTATTGAAAATAAAGAATAAAAGAGCATTTAATAATTTAAGTTTAGGCGAATAAATAATTTTAAAAGAAAATATAAATGATTGAAATGAAAATCGTGGGACATTGGTTCATCAAAAAGCAAAAAGAATTCTGGGACCTTTCAGAATCAATTGAAATTGAAGCGGTGCTCTTAGGGTTCGCTTTCGCAGTCGAGATTTGAGATTCGAGAAAATGGCCGGTTTACCAGCAAAGCTCCGTCTCCAACCCACCGACGTCAAAGCCGCCGCTATGTGGGGTGTTGCTGCCGCCTCCGGCGCTCTCTACCTCATTCAGGTTAATATCCTCTCAATATTTCCCATTTTCTTTTTCTAATTTCTGGCTTTCCAATTTGCCTCTGGAAAATTATATCTACTATTTCCTTCCTCTTATTTACGACCTCCCGTATTGATCTGAAATTTCGTTCTCGAATTTCTGTTTCTGAATATTCTGATCTAAACTCATATTCCAACTGCCTCCTATTGTATAACTTCATAATATACTTTTTTTTTTTGTTTTTGTTTACTGTGTCTATTTTATGTCTTGGAGAGTTTTTTTTTTTTTTTTTTTGAGTCCCGCTGATCGTCAATGTCTCATTAATTACGCGAACATTTTGATTTCTTTTGCCATAGCACCTTAATTCGCTCTTAACTCTACGAATCAATTTTTTTTCATCCTTGAGATTCGGGTGGGTTTTTTTTAATAAATTTCGGTTTATTATCTACTTGAAATCATCCAAAAAATGGAGTAATAGCTTCTTAGCAGTTGTTCATTGATGCTGTGGAGATGTACGTTTTGCGTGATTTTATAGTCTTTTTAAGCTGTAGCACTTATCTTCCTTGCTGAAATTTTAGCAAGATATGCGAGTATTTAGATAATAGTTTCATAAAATTTAGTTTATTTAAGATTCATTGGTTTTTCTTTGATATTTATAATCAGTGCCTAATACAATGTTGTTTCATAGATTTTAATTTTTTATCCTGCTTTATGGTGGACCAAACATGTTTGGCAAGTTTTTGTTTGTGATGGTGATGGAAATCTTCTCTGTTACCAATTGTGCTCCAAGTTCCAACAAAAAATTGATTCGGATGATCTGCTCTTGATGGGTGTAGTGTTGAGTGTATTGTTCTTTGAATTTTTTGACATTCTCTCTTCATCACAGTAGGAAAATAAGGGAGTGCTGTCTCATTATGTGTTCTCCTGTTTCAAACATGAGGATGAAGAGTGAGATGATGCGTTGATTGTGTCTAAAAAATGATGGCAACTCTTTGATATAGATATTGATTTTAATGGATTTGTTGTTTGTCAGAAACCTTATGGTAGGAACTGACTTTTACTGAAAAAACAATGGAGACTAGCATCTCACAAGAATAGAAAATGCAGAAATTAAAGGATATATTTGGAATTCAGCAGATGCACAGAAGCTCTAGCCAAAACCCATTCCCCTTGCCCTTCAATTGATGACTACCCTCCACTACCTATCTTTCCCTCATCTAATCTCATTTCTCTGCAACGGAATTTCTACCGCCCTCTATTCCTTGCCTGCTCAGCATTTGGTCATGCTCTGGATTTAACAACGTGAATATTCCCTTTATTTTCTATTTTGCCATCCTCACCCCTATGTGTTTATGCTTCTACTTATTTACCCTTCCATGTAGCATATTTACTTATTTTTTTATCTTCATATAACATTACATGATGAACAAGCATACATTTGTTAACTCTTAGGAAAGGACTGGTAAATTGGTAACGACTCCAGACGGAATATACTTTAAGTGGGACATTTTGGCTATCCTGGTTTTCTCTATTTTGGTGATTTGTGTCAATGTGTGGCATTTTACTTCTATATGCATATTTATAGATGTTTTCTTGTTGGTTGAGTGCAGTTGTAATGCTTTTTTCTTTAAATCATTTACAGCCATGGGGATGGTTGAGGAAGACCTTCTTGGAGAAGCAAGATCCTGAGAAAAAATGAACTGAAATCTTAGAAGATCGGTTTGAATTTTTGGATCATGTCAGGGAGCGTAATTGAATAACTGTCGAATAATGTTATTTTCTGCTGAGTTCTTCTCGCGCATGTTTTATGTGATGGATTTGGATATACATTTTAATGTTGTGCGCTGGTTGTTTTTACCAGAGATTTTCTATTATAAATCAACATTCTTCTTGCTCCTCCATGTTGAACGAACGAACTGTTGATTTTATGGCAGTAGCATCCTTTGCCGAGGATGATAATACACAATTATCTTCTCACGTTTCTAGGAAGGACTACAAATTCACCGTTTGAAAATGTCAAAAATATATATTTTATATACTTTTTAAGTCATTTTTAAAAATTAGGTGTTACGTTAAAATATTACTAGGTAGAATTTATATGGGTTTCGCTAAGTAGGAGTTAAAAATTATGAGATACAGCCTGATTGGTTTTCTCTCGGCATTGAGGAATCGAAAATAAATCAATGCCATCCAAATCGTTTTTCAAGCCGACTCTATCGTTGGTTTTAAGCATTGTAACCCTGTTTTACTACGCCGATTGAGGAACAAAGAGGTTCTTAGCTTGTTCTTAGAAGGCTACACGCGCAGTTCACACGATGATAAAAAGTATGTTGGAAATATTGTTTATAATAGTGGAGGCAAGTATTTCTTTAATCCTTAAGAGAGATCATATTTTGGTTCTGAATAATTTTTTGAGAACAAAGTAGCTATAATGAATAAAACAATATGTTGCTAAAATACAGGCATTGAAAATCACGATAATTATTATTTGAGTTATAGTATTTTCTGAATAAAAAGTTACTTTTAATTGTTGATATTGTATAAATATTTTTAATAATACTAGAAACTGTCCCAACGTCCCTCCCCTCATATTTAGTGATGGCAATATGACTGGAATCTATGGAGGTTCACTTTATCTCGACTCGAGTTTGATGACAGCTGAGTTCGGGTATTTTTTCTAAAGAAAGATGAATTTGGGTTTGGGTTTTAGATTTTTGACATTTGTTTTGAACCCACCTTGCTCTTATATATATATATAGATATATATGTGTGTGTGTGATATTTAATTTAGATATCATTGATATGCATGTAAATAGAAAAATTATATAAAATTTATTATTTAATTATTTTTATATTAATTAATATAAGTGAGCATACATAAGATCTTGGTGGAATTGAGTTTTTTTTTTTTTTTTTTAAATTCGCCCCTACCCGTGTCGTTGTCATTCCTACTTATATTTCTCCACGAGATTTCAACCGTAACCCCACAAATTTTCATTCTCTTTCCTATTTTCACGCATCCAAACACTGAACACACGACCTTCCTTCCATTCTCTTTATTTTCTTTCCTTTGCCTCGTTTTCTCTTCCTTCCAAACGAATAGTAAGAGAAAATCAATCCTTTCTTTATTCTTGGTTTTTAATGTTTTCTTTGATTTTGATTTTGTTCTTTATGCTATAAAACTTTAGTTTATAAGCTCGTTGCATTTATACATAAGATTTTGTGTATGACTTGATAGAGATTGCAATTTGAATGGAACATTGTGGATACTATTTTCCTTTTCTTTCCACTTTGGGGCAGCAGAGATGAGGTGATCCGCTTTTCAAGTTGGTCCTTTCAACTGTTGACAGACGCCAAGTATCTTTCAGCTTCTGCCATTCCAAGTTCCCACCAAAATAAGCAAAACATAACTCAAAAACCCCAACTACACCACTCTCTCCTATATACTTCAAAACCATAATTAAAAAACAATAGCAGAGACTTTTTTTTATCACAAATTTTCTACAATGGACGCCATTCACTAACAATAGGATCATAAAATAGAATAAATAAATAAATTAACTCCCCGCCCACCACACCTACACACCCCTTATGACCCGTTCCAATCCCAAGTTTCCACCGGAAAAATCAAAGTAAATCATGATTTCAATTTCCATCTCTTTAAATATTTTTTTATAATTTGCAGGTATATGCGATAACCCAAGTTTGTAATTTTTAATTTTTTTTAAATAAATTATAGGTCTTACTAATTTCATTTTAAGTAATTACTAAAATAAAATTTTATTTAAATTATACTTTTATCACTTTAATATAATAAATGAAGACTTAAATTTAAGTTAACAAAATTCATAAAATATAATAATTTTTAATATTTGCACTATTGTACATAATTAAAAAAATAAATCATAAATTTAAGATAAAAATTATAATACTTAATAATATTAATTTATTAAATTTTATAATTTGAATATAATTTTATTATATATAAATTATTATGATATGTAACATTGAAAAAGTTAACGTCAATTTTATTTTAATTTGACTATATATATATATATTTGATTTAACTATGTATTTAAATAAAAGATTCTTTGAAATTTTATTTTATTTTAAAAAACGTTAACATTATCTGAAAACCGGATCGAGAATGTTCGATCCCCCTAGGCCCAAGATGCAACACCAACCGTCGGATGATGGTGATGAATGATGATCCTCTCCGTTTATATGTCACACTTGGGCGTGCGTTGAGACTTCTTCTCTTCCCTTCACTGAGAACACAACCGCAGCCGCAGGAGACAACCGGCACCATTCTGGTGAGTTTACACTCCGCTAATCTCAGTTTCTGCAATTTCTTTCGTTTTATGTATTGTTTTTGTATCATTAAATTTGTTTGTGAATTTGATCTGATTGGTGTGCGTGTTGAGGATTAGGAAGGAGTGGTTGGGTTCGATGGAGAAGGAGTTGGTGGAATTGTACGACGCGGCCAAGAAGGCCGCGGATTCGTGCAGCTCCGGCGACGGCGAACACGATGAGAGCCGATGCATCGATGCGCTCGAGCAGCTTAGGAAATTTCCCGTCAATTATAAGATTCTCGTTAACACACAGGTGTTTATCTCTCCCTATTTTCCACCTTTTTTTTTTCCTTTTAACGTTTTTTTAGGCTTTGTTTTTGTGGTCTTTGATTGGTGGATTTTTTATTTTATTTTTTTGGATGAAGCTGTTTGGTTTTTTTTCTCAAATCAATTGGTAATTTGAAGTTTTAAGAGAAACGAGTGAATGCTATGATAAGTTGCGTGGTAATATGATTTGCATTTTATAATGGTTAGGGTCCGGTCGAAAATAAACACAGTTTGACCGGGATGATAACTATGATAAAGGGCAATGGTGAAGTCATAAAATGTTGTATATTTTGGTCTGTGGTATGTACTCAAATAAATAAGCTGCTTGAGCTAATGTGTATGCATTACAGAAATTGGGTTTGGGTTGGATCATGCAGTTATGAGTTGTGATGGGTGGGGATGTTTAAATTCTGAAATAGCTATTTCTTCAAGTGTTGATAATGTTTGGTTGCGAAAGGTTTGCAAATTTTCCCTTAACTAATTCCACTGAAGAATTTTAGTATTACTTTGGGATGTTAGAATGAAGATGCAGAATCTTCCAAGGTTACTGTTCATGTTAAAATTTATAAATTATTATTGCTTACTGAGTTTGTCCTTCCTTGTAGCTGGGATCTACTATTTATTGGACAGTGCTGGTTATGTAATTTCTGTTTTGATTCACATCCTTTCCGTTTCCTTCATAACATAACGGTGTCATGTTTTTTGAGAGAAGGCAAACTTCTTCTGGATATGATCTGTAGACCAGACCGTGATATGGTAATGGTGGGTCGTACACAAATTAAATTTCATCTTGTCTTTCATAACATGACACTGTCGTGTTCTTGAGTAAAACGAGAATCCAAATCTGTTCTTGTGCACAGTGATTAGAGCATGTGAAAGATGGAAATTTTCATTACTGCTTTTTTCTCTTATACAGTGGATGCAGAAATAGTGATTTCAATTTTTTCCGTTGCCAGGCAGAATGACTGTTTTTTCTTCTCTGTTTTCATTTGATTTGATTTGATTTGAATTTATTTGATGTGATTATAAAATTGATTCCCAATTTTGGAACTTGGTATAAACCATTTTATTTGAATTGAATTGGAAATCTATTTTTATGCTTGGAACTAATTGGAAATGTTATTGATTTGATTTGACTCATTATTTTTATGCTTTTATTCTTATAAATTCTCCTTTTCTGAATGATAAGAAGGTTGGTAAAAATGGTATATCTATTTCAAATCAAACCAAATCCCAACAAATCCCACCATATTTACAGGATTTCTGACTCTAAAGCTTTGGAAATCCATGGGATTTTAGAAAGAAAATCATTTCCTATCTTTTAACATTCCAAGCACAAGGTTTGATATTCAAATTTTTCTCCCCATCCCAATCAATCTGTAAATCAAATTCATTTCTTCATGCATTCATCTCCTTCTCCCCACCAATCCCTTGTGTTTTTATTTTGAAGGATATCTCAGCTCCTCCGTCTTTAACTATTTACTTTTCTCTTTGATGGATTTCCTTTCTCTATCAAACAATAAAAGTCTACCACTAAAGATGGGTTTGTAATATATTTTTTCACAGAAGGGCACACTAACTGATCTCAAATATGTGCTTGTTTCATGGCTTTAGGTGTATGACTAAGACTTATTTTATTCTGTTTCATGTGATCCTTCAGGTGGGCAAACATCTTAAAGTTCTCACTAAACACCCAAGGCAGAAAATTCGGGCCTTTGCTACTGACCTAATTGAGATATGGAAAGGCATAATTATCAAGGAAACAAGCAAAAATAAGAATGGGGGCTGTGATAATAAGGTTGAGTCAGCAAATGGGGAGAGAGCTAAAGCTGGGAAAATGCAGAAGAGTCCTTCAGTGAAGGTTGAGAAAAGTGAAACTGTCAAGGTTGAGAAAATTGATAGGAATGGTACATCAAAGTCAACCTTAGACAATATAAAGAAGGTACAAAATGTTGATGTCAAGACTGAGAAAACTGATCGTGCTGCAAGCATCAAGGTGGAAAAGCCGGTTTCTGGAGCTAAGAAAATATCATCCAGTTCTGCCATTCCCCCAAAGCTAAAAACTATGATTAAATCTAATGATTCAGTGCGAGACAAAATAAGGGAACTTCTCCAAGAGGCTTTAGCCAAGGTCTCTGGAGAGGCTGATGAAGATATGTTGGAAGAGGTTAATGCATGTGACCCTATTCGTGTTGCTGTGACAGTAGAGTCTGTATTATTTGAAAAGTGGGGTCCTTCAAATGGGGCCCAGAAGGTTAAGTATAGATCCTTAATGTTTAACCTTAAGGATCAAAATAACCCAGATTTCCGGAGAAAAGTTCTACTTGGTGTTGTTGAACCAGAGCGGTTGGTCAACATGAGCACAGCAGAAATGGCTAGTGAGCAGAGGAAGCAGGAGAATGAGAAAATTAAAGAGAAAGCTTTGTTTGAATGTGAGCGTGGAACCCAACCAAAAGCAACAACCGATCAATTTAAGTGTGGCCGATGTGGGCAAAGAAAGTGCACCTATTACCAAATGCAGACTCGCAGTGCCGATGAACCTATGACAACTTATGTCACTTGTGTTGTCTGCAATAACCGTTGGAAGTTCTGTTAGTGCGGTGGTGACTTCTGAGTCTTACAAGAGCTGTTATTTGTTACTGATTTAGGGTATGAAGGAGCGAGTGTCGTTATTGTTCCTTATTGCAGTCGGGCCAAAATTTTTAATCAGACTGTTACATGTAGAAATTTTTTAGGCAGAGAAGTGTACTTTTTATTCTTTTTCAGTTTTTTAGTTTTCGCTTTACTGTAGTTTGCTGTAACTTTATAATTTCATCTCTTATAAAATTGCACCAATGTTTTTCTCAGGTTTATGTCACTACAATTCACTACAATTCTTTACCTATGTATCCAATCTATCCGATTATTTTTCCAAAATGGTCAGGTAGAGCTAGGTTTTAGTCAGAAACAGAACATCGTTCTATGGTACTGGCCCTAGTTTTCTTGGTGCAAACCCAGTCATCCAGTCATGACATATACACTCTACCTGTAGTCCTGTACATGATTCTCATTGGTTAATTTTGTAGCCCTGCAGCACTCGGCGCTGCAACCTTTTTTGGAGGTAACTAGGTAAGACTGCAAGATGTTCTCACATAATTTCCATTTGGGTGTCAGCTTAGCTTTAGTTGCAAGGTGTTGCTGTTGAGTATCGAATTCTTGCAATTCATGATAGTTCAGAATATATTCTTAATTGTTTATATGATATATTTACTGGAGGCAGATACAATATCCAGCCCCCTTGAGAAGAAAGGGCTAACGTGAAGGTCAAAGACAAGAATATAGATTGTATTGTATTTAAATCGTGCATAACAGATTTTCCATTATCCCTTTAGCATAACTTATCTTTTTATACAAAAGACAATACTATATGAGTTTAATAGTATTTACATTTGAATCAATCATTATCATTCAGCAGTAAAATAACGCCTTAAAAAAATTAGTAATTTAAATATGTAAATAAATAGAAAACTATTAGAGATAGAGCAGAGAATGCTCAGGTTAATCAATCGCTATTCGAAAGATGATTCAATGATTTTTCCACCTAGATAGCTCCCGTTACAGCTGAGTTAAGTGAGTCTTACACTGATTCCCTTGTATTTTTCTTGCTAGTTAAACAAAGGTTAACACAGCAAAAACTGCTACGCTACTTTGTTTATGTTGATTCCTTACTTCGTAGACTTGACTTACCTCAAGCTCACCCCTCATGAGAACACCAAGTTTGAAGAGGCATGAACCATGGGATATAGCAGTACAGGAATCATGACAGCACAACCCTAGACCAATACCAACGGTACTAAACTAACAGAAACATCAAACCTCAAAATCTGGCCCTTGTTATGACTCAAGCTGACATGTCTAACTACAATAATAACAAGGACGCCGATGCATTGCCTTCCCAACCACACGTCAAGAGATAACAAAGCAACATTTATCTTTCAATTTTGATATTTAAACTATTAAAATTTAATTGCTTAGGTAATATTATATATTATTATTAATTTTTATTTTATATATTTTAAAAATATATCTCAAATTTAAAAGAGATGTTTTAAATATCTTCTTCTAATAATACCAAAAAAAAGTGTTTACTTATTTTTATACGCATTATTGTCTTAGTCTAATTAATTTGAATAATTCTTTTAACAAATAATTTATAAAATAACAGATAGAATATATTAAAATAAAAATAAAAAAAAACCTTGAATCTGACTTATAAAGTTCAATTAGTTCATACACCTTAACATTCTTAAAAGTCTTTTCATCAAACATTTTTATAAGTTGAAATGTACAAATTAATTTTAATTTATATAAAAATTTAATTAATTGCTTATTTATTTATCTTCCTATTTATTAAAACATTTATATCTAAACTAGTTTTACCCCGAATATTGAAATGTGTTTTTTTATGTACTTCCGTTTTATCCTTGTTAACCAGGGTTTGCCTCAATCATTTCAGAAGATAGATAGTTCATTTTAGATGAATTAATGATATTTTATTTATAACAAGTTAAATAAAAAATTAATACCATTTTAATATAATCTATTAATTTCTTTAATTTATCTTGCAAGATAACATAGACAAACTCTATTCGTAAACTTCCATTAATTACTGAAGCTTTGAGGTAGTCTATGGTGTAAAACCCGATAAATAATCAATCTCAGAAAGTAGGGAAACTGGAATCGGAGGTCCAGTATCTGGAGAGGAATACAAAGCAATAATTCAGACTCGGAATCTACTCTTGTATTCATGGTGGATGAAATGAAAATGCAGCAAAATCACAATTAGAAGTCGAAATAGGCTTGGCGAACCACAAAAAGAAGAAAAGTACTATGACATAATCGTATGTGTACACGGTAATGTAGCACAAAACAATCATTATTCAAAGATACAATTGGTCGTTATTATTCTTGATTGGTTTATTTGATTTTCAGCAAAAACAAAATAGTAGTAGTTACTAGTTACTAGCTATCGTTGAGAAAGAACATCATGCATGACTATTGAGCTCTTTAAGAGCTTGGAAGACTCGAGAGCTTGTATCAAATATGTGAGCCCTTCGGTTGTAATCCATAGGGTGTTTTCCCACATCCTCACCCATAATTGCCTCCATCTCCAAACACTCCAACATCTCAACCACACCCTTTTCTTCTCCACACTTATGCCTAAACCTTTCATCTTTTTGTGTCTTCATTTCAGCTTCAACCTCTCTCTCCAACTCTTCCACCGAACCCCACCTTCCACTTTCTACCACAAACACATCCTTTCTCGGATGAACCAAACACGAAACATGACTAGACCAAAAACTCTTGTCCCCCTTGAAGCCCAAGTTCCTCACCTTGCCCACGCTCACATAACAACTCAAATTGGCTTTGCTAAAAGGAAGAGAGGAGTTGAGCTTGTAGTGTGTATTAACAAGGCACGGAAGACCCTTCATTTTTGGCTACGAAGCCTTGGTTTTCAATTTCTACAAGCTTGTGTTGTGTTATGTGTTTGTGTTGGTGTTCAATTTCTATGTTATTGATTGATGTCATGTGGCCAACTTGACCATTGGGAAGTAATGGCGTAGAGGACACGCGTTTCAAAGTGCCTAAATTCTATAAACATTTTATCCGCACGTCCCAAAATGGTCAAAACGTTTTACCAATGGGGTGTGAAAACTGAAAATTTGAGGCTGCATGACGGTGTCACCATAACACAGGAACAAATTAGATACGCATACGACAAGATATAGTCTTTGCGACTTACAAGGCAAAACCTTCCAAATTACGGCATTCATTCATCATATTTGACCTTATGACCCATCGTTTTTCATTTACAAGAATAAAGGAAAATGAGATTTATACCAACTCTTTTTATGCTTTACTATACAATATACCAACTTATTTCATTCTAAGTAACCAGGGTTTTTATGCATTATATAAATGTATTTAGATTTAAGATAAACTATAGGTTAAAAATGGAAAACATTTAATAAAAACATGTAAAATTATAAAAGAAATATATATATATATATATATGTATAATGAATTAATGTATTTTTTTTAAAGAATTAGTAAAAAGTACTTAGAATTATAAAAAAGAATACATGCATAATTCATTTAACGATTTTAAACATGAAACTTGAAAAAAATTAATAATTGAATTAGATATACTTTAAAGAAAGAGTAGATTTGTGTGAGTGCGTACAAAAGAATCTATAAAATTTTGGTAAAATAAATTGGATATATCTTAAATGGAATTGGTATAAAAAGTTGCAAAAATCGAAAAGAAGGAAAATATAAGGATAATTGATTTTGTTCTAATACAAGAGGAAATGATAGTTTAAAATAGAAGCATGAATCACTGTATTAGGGAAAACAAAATAATTATGTATGACAGTTATTAAGCTACATTTTTAGAATACGTTATAAATAACATCTTTATTTCGGAGGCTATTTAAATTATTTTCTATAAATGAAGGTTTTAAGATTGCTGAATGTTATAACATTCAAATTAAATGGTGAAATATGATTTAAATTCAAGTAATAAAAACTAATATTAAATTAGAAATTTACATATCATGTTAAATGTTTTCAAAAGTTATTTATAAACAACATTGATTTTTTTATGAATAATTTTTTTTTATTACAATATTTTTTTTATATATAAAACAAACAAGCTAGTCTTTTAATTTTTATTAATTTTTTTTCATAACTTCAATAGCGTAATTTTTCTGTTCAATCAAGTAACATTACTCTAATTTCATTTTATAAATTATTTATTTAATTCATGACCTTAAATCTTAAACTTCAAACATAAGAAAAATTAATAAAGAATAATGACGAAGAAAAAAGAAAATAAATAAATAAATCTCTTATAAAGATCTTATAACAGAATAAAAGAAATTGAAAAACTTAATGTTAAAAGTATTTAAGAACGTAATGAAAAAATTCTAAAACTAATCTATGTGTTTTGATTGAAGATTATAAAAATTTGTTTAATTTAATTTATGTTAGCGTAATTTTTATTTTTATTTTTTAAAATTTTAAATTAAATAATTTATTATGTTTTAAGTTAATAAAAAAAACATGTTAGTTATTAAATTTCTTTATAGTTTTATATTTTATCATATTAGCATCAATTTTACAAACTTTTCCCTTTTGTAACATGCAATCATTTGATCTAGTTTTACTTTGACTAAATTGCATGAGATATTCGGTTTGTTCGTTTGGCATCAACCCTTGTTAAATGGTAAATTTATTTATTTTAACTTAATTTAAGTTGTAAGTGAAAGTAATAAATATATAAAAATATTCAGATTTCTTATATAAAATCGTTGCAATTTAACAATTATTAAATTTATACTTTATTTCTTAAGGAAACAAACTTATTTAAAGCAAGAAATCAATTCTTTTAAAACTATAATCTTTGTTTTATGTTTACTTCATTAAAGATATTAACATTTTGTTATTTTTATTTGTGCTAATTTGTAATCAATTTATGAATTTTTTATTAGATGGAATAAGTAAATATTATTATAAATAAATTTAAATATTTATTTTATTTAAAATCAATCCTCGATAATGATAGGAGACGTGATGTATTATATACGTTAATTATTAAAGTTTTTAAGACTTTATGGAAATTTAAATATTCAAAATAACTTGTATTTGACTTGAACTACATGGTATAAATTTAAAATATGTTATTGAAAGTTTTATCACAAGAGTTAGTGCTAAATATTTTGACATTATTACAGAAATTTTAAATAATTAACTTAAAAATATATTTATAAATCTGTTAATATAATTGTATATGATTTTATTAAGAATTAAAATTTGTTTATTTTCTATTTTAAAAATATTTTTTAAATAAAAAATAAAATATGTTTGTTAACATAAGCTTTATTTTAAAAATAATTTTAAAAATTAATTTGTTTAACTTCATTTTTTTAAAATATTTTTTGAAAATAAAAAAAATTATTTGTTAACACAAATTTTATTTTTATTTTATAAAAAATTGTTTTAAAGTATAATTTTAAAAATTTTAAAAATCAAAATAAAAAAGCCTGTACAATTACCTGCTCTGTACATTAAAGGATAATTTAGCGAGTTTTTTCTATTATATAATTAATTTTCTTTTTCATTATGTTTATAAGAAAAATAATGTTATACTTCGTAATTTTAAAATAATTTTATATAATTTTATCAAATATATTAAAAAATAAACAAATATAAAAATAGTTATGTTATATTATAATATTATAATTTTTTTAAATATATTTATTTAATAAAAAATTATATTTTAAAAAAATTAAATAAAACTTATGTTAATAAATAAATTTTATTTTATTTATTTTAAAGAAAACTATTTTTAAAAACATTAAACAAACAAAAACTCTTATTTTCTATTTACTTTTGATCAATTTTTTACAATATATTTTTTGGTATTTATTACAATATTTTAAATTTGAAAAATATTTATAATTTTTTAAATAAATTCCGTCACAATTATTCGATATATAAGAGATGATAGAATATCCGTATAGTTTCCCTATTTTGTTTCTGTTTTTTTTTCATTCTTCCTTATCTCTCTTTTATTCTTTTTCTTAAGAATAGGTATTGTATCAAAGGCTAGGTATTGTATCCTCCAACGACCTCTAATAGTCGGCGGCTAGAATTGGATCGAAAAGCAAAGCTTGGTTCGAAGGTGAAGGACACAGAGTAGACTAGAAAAGGTTTGAAAGGCTTTGGTTTAGAACGGTTCAAAACAAAAGACAAAGCAAGGATTTCATGGGTAAGTCCAGGTTTAGAATCCACATGGGGAAGGGAATGATCTGGGGTGATAGGCATTCTAGAGAAAGCCTTTTGAAAGAAAAAGCATATATATAGAAGCAAGGTAGCTTGCTTAGGGGATCAAAAAGCTATTTAGCGTGAAATTCAAATATAGACAGTGTTCCGTTAGCTATCTTTCATTGTAACTATATAAGGGTCTAACTATAAGTAAGCTTCACCCCTCTCCTTATCGTTTGAGTTACTGACAAAACTTTCTTCGCTCCTTCTCTGTAGTGGTGGAATAGAAAAAGGAAGGCGCTTCCGAGCTGCTTTCTGTTCAGATCCTTCTCTTTCTCTGTTTTGGCGACTCCATTATCCTTCAGTTGGTTCGAACGCGACCGTGGTTAGTTGGTTTCTACTTACCTTTGATTTCCATTCCCTGCTTCATTATTGAATTTCTTATATCGCTATTAGATATTCTAAATCGTGAATGATTATTGTTTGCTTGTTGGGTATGCGGTTCATACGAACTGCACTTTCGATTTAGTTTTCATGTGTAACCAAACTATACGTGGGTAGTGGGCTTGCATAAGACACAAACACAAACAAACTGATGCACTAGTGAGCACTTAGTTAAAATCCCGATTTGAATGGTAAAATCCTACTATCTTATGATTTTGGAAGTCCCACCGATTTAAATCGTGTACAAAATCCTGAGTCAAGTCGTTTTAAAATCCCGATTTAAATCTTAAAATCCCTCAAATCGGGATTTCACGATTTAACTTGAATTTTAAAAATTGCTCACAAAGTATCTTTTGTTGAACCTTATCATCGCAATTGACGCCTCTTTCATATATCTCCTTTATATGGAATTCAGTTTGTCTCTAGCAGCTTTGAACCCTACCGTTGTTGTCAACATTCAACAGTCCTCCAGCGCGGGCATGAGTGCAGCCTGGTCTGCAACTAAACCCCAGCAGTGTTCAAATGTTCTAAGTTCAAGTCTAGTGCTGCGGTTCTTGCATTTCTGTTCTGGTCTATATTTTATTCATGTCGATGCATTACATTTGTATGGAATAGATTATGATTTGTGAGTGATACTTTGTTTAAGTGCTTTAACTGATTTGAAGGTTTTTTTCCCTAATTTATGATATTTTATATGAATTTATATCATATATATGAATCTTATAAAATCTTACGATTCGATTTACGATTTTCACTCTCTTTTATAATTTAAAGTAAAATCTCGATTTTAACTAACTTGATGGTGAGGATGGACTGAGGAGGGTGCTTTTTACCTGGCATCTAATATAACCATCGTTGGTCTATTCTCTGTTCTCCTATTGGGTAATGTGTGAATATTTTGATGTGAATCTTATTGTATCACTCGCTTTAAGTCTTTTATCCTTTTTATGGTTGAAATAATGTACTGCCATTTGAAACCTAAGCTTATAGGTGCTTCTGAATATGCATGGTTGAATAGAATATATAATACTGAGTTAGCACATTTTCCTCTATCTTTCTTGGTTAGTCTGTTGAGCTGCCATTTATGAATTGTGATATGCAGAGTTCAGCAAGAAACCTTGGCAACTAGAAAATTAGGGTTTCAGGTGGCCATGAGAGGTGGAAGGAAGAATTTGAAGAGGGCAACAGAGGAAAAGCATGTAACCCTGCAAGATGGGCAAAGCATCATGCAGGTGGTGTCTCTTCGAGGCTCCAATCTTATTGAGGTATTGCTTTCCTAGTTCTATGCCTTACATCTTTGCCCTTTTATTTTGACTGAGAAATATGAGGTGAAACTTGCAAATTTCAATAGAGATATAAATCAATGATTTGAAAGTTTGCATCTACCAAAAAGAAGTAAAATTACATCATTAACAAGGAAAAAAAATACTGTAGTTAACCAATACAATGGTTGTAAGTGCTACCCTAGTAGTAAACAAAAAATTGGTAGTTTGGTACTTTTGATTACTTAAAAAGCAAATTGTTTCCAATGATATTGCAAGGATTGCCAGTGTTTTTATCAGCTTTCAAGAAAGAAAATAGAACAAAAAAATGTACGGGAGAAAAATATAGTGGTTGTTTTATAGGCATGAAAAACATTAAATTAAATTAAATTAAATTAGGCTATATAAGTAAACAACCCATTACTGTGTTTCCATAGTGATGTCTGAAGGTCATGATGCATGTGGTAAGAAATCATTATCTCTATTCCTTGCCAAATTTCGGAAAAAGTAGAGATGGAAAAAATGAAAACAAGACTATGCTAATTCTGTTAAAATTAGGTTACTCAACGTAAACAACATATTCCTTTTTGCACAGGAAATGTGTTACTTGTGTATATAGCTCCTTTTTTATGTTTCCATTTTTATGTCTGCAGGTCATGGATGCATGTGGTGAGAAATCCTTAGCTCTATTCCCTGCTAAATTTCAGAAAAGCATGTGGATTAAACGAGGTTTGTCCTAATTTAAGATGCACTTCAATACTTATTGTTTTAATTTAAATGTTACTCAATATATGTTATTTTGTATTTACTACTTTTTATAAAGAAAAAACTTAATGCTTTACTGAAAATGGTATTATGTCTTTGTCCAGGTGACCAAATGATTCAGTGTTACCATTGTTGATTTTCTATTTATAGTGAAAGCTAGCTAGCTTTTTTCACTCAAACCTGTGCTTGCTTTGTTGTTCACGAATTAGAAAATTCTTAGCTAATTATGAATTTGTTGATATAGATTATGAAACTATTTATTTAGAAGTCATGTCAACTCCACCAAACTGTTTTGTCAAACAATCAGTGATCATCAAACTTGAACATAATTGTTGTGTGTACTGCTTGAAAATTGATTGTGCGTTATTTGCATGACCTGACAGGGAATTGGCTAACGAAACCGTCTATTTATTTATATTTTATGTTACTCCAACCCATCTGCCAAAGAATTGAATTGAACTGAGCATCAGTTTGAAAATTATTTTTTTTCTTGGTCTGCCTCTACATTGATCAACCAAAGAATTGTTTTCTCAATGCTGCAGGGAGCTTCGTTGTTGTTGATGATAGTGGAAAGGAAAAAGCCCTTGAATCGGGTAGCAAGGTTGCTTGTCTTGTTTCTCAAGTTCTTTTCTATGAACAAGTTCGAGCACTAAAGAAATCTCCGGATTGGTGTGTTATTGTTTCTAGCTTTGATTTATATTATATTTACTTGCTTTGGGTTCCCTTAAGTAATCATATATTCAGTTTCTTAATTGAACTTGGATATATGATCGCATCTAATGGTATCCATATCCAAGGTATCATATACTCAACTTTTTCAATCATTTCTTCCATATAGGCCTGAAAATTTTAAGTCTGCAATGGTAGATGATTCATATGAAAGAACCACCGCCCAACAAGAGAATGAGATGGACGCGAGCGATGATGATGGACTACCTCCATTGGAAGCCAATACAAATAGGATGAGACCTTTTGAGTTGCAAGCTGATGCAGATTCAGAATCTAGTTCAGATGCGGATGATGAATCATAATATAGTTAGGCTGCCATATATATATGAATGATTACATTCAACTGACAATGTATGTTAAAGAATGTTGTCCCATCTGTGTGCTGATTCCTTCAGCTCTCAATTAAAAGAAATGAATTGAATTTGCCTAATCAAATTAGAAAACACAGACGCAGCTGAAATCATTCGTTTGATTGTCACTTAGGATTCTGCCTTTTTTGGTGGGAACGGTAAGGACTACTAACAAAGGGATAAAATAAATTTAAATTAAGGACTATAAAAACTTAATTTAGAAAGGACTAATGTCCAACATAAAATTCACTGGTCGCGATAGGGATATTTTTAATACAACTAATGTCTAAAATACAAGATATATGGATACTATCTACATGAGAGGTATTATAGGATTAGTTCCGACATTTATTTTTATTTTTATTTGACTTCAAATTTTAATAGGATAATTTATTTATATTTAAACTTAATTCGATTAAGTTCTAATAATATAAGATAAACTTATTCTACGGGCATAATATATTAATCATAATATTCTTTATAGTTAAATTATAGAATTAAAAAATATAAAATCTAAGTATATTTTATAATATATACGTTAATAAGGATTATTCATTAAGTTAATAAATTTGATTAATTATAATTGTTGAAAAAATATAAGTTTTAAAAGAACTAGGACAAGAGTGCAATCCAGATTACACGAAGTATAACCTAAATTCTTCTTTAAAATGCATCAAGTTTAATGTCTAAAACTTCTACTTTCTAAAATTAAATTCAAATAAAAAAGGCTTATTGTGCAGGAGCTACAACAATTCTCATGTATAGGCTATGTTAAAATGACGAAAATTATAAATTTGAATCATAGAATAGTCAAAATTAGAAGTTAATGATCTCGTGACCACTTTAAAAAGTCATTTTTTCTTCTTAACCTTGACCATTTAATAAATAAAATTTAATGTTCTATATTTATTATTTTAACTTGAACAATAATTTATTGTTCTCACTTAAATTATTTTTTAACGTGAGAGATAAATCATAATTAATTGATCTAATCATGAATAATTAAGATTACAATATAATGTAATATTTTAAAATGATCATGTTAATTTTTTTAGAAGTTAAAGACTAAATATTATTTTATATTTTAATAAATAATGTGGGTCCATCCGTATTTAAATGTGGCTCAAGTATTTGAGTCAATAATTAGAGACCTTATAAGAAGTGTCCATCAAGCGATGAAAAGGTGTCAATGTTAAAAATGTGTCAAACTCTGGAACATTTAAAAACAAGGAAGGTATTTTTAACCCTTAGGTGATTTTCTATAAAGATATTTACTTAAAAACTTTAAAATACCCACATTAAACACTTCATACGTCAAAATCATATTTTTACAACAATCAATTTCTGTGCATGAAAGTGCATAGCACCTGCTGCAGAACTGGTGTACATAAAATTGAATTATGGAGCTAAACTGCTTCTGATACACCTGTTGCATCCAAGAAGAAACTAATAAACAACATCACATCAAGTCATCATCATGTGGATGCTGTATCACTACCTCTCAAATTCTGACAGAGAAATCCCCATTCTTGATCTTTGCAGCTTCAGTTTAAATTCAACAAACATTTAATTCTCTTGACTCAAATCATTTTCTCAACTGAGGATGAGCTCCTTACCTTAAACAGAAGAACGAGTCCCTCTTATTACTTGACTTGGCGAAGAATAACCCATCAGTAGATGAAGTGAAGTTTTTGGGGGTGTTGACAGTTTCTTAGCTACAGACAAATTGGTGGAAAAGATAGCTGATTCATCTGTCTCCACTGTAGCCTTCCTTAAACTAGAACATCTTGGAGTAATCTTCTCCTCTTTTGAAGGCTCAAATGTACCACGTGAGACACTTCTGCTATCATGTTCACTGCTATGCAACAAGGTATGAAATCGTGTCAGAGAAACTGGCTCTCCTTCTGAGGAGTAGCTTTTAGAGACAGAAAGTCCATAATCATCATAATATGAAATGGGCTCTGCAGGTGAATAATGATAATAGTTGGCATGAGCTGCTGGAAGTACATTGCTGCTACTAATCACCTCACTTTGGTCATCAACGTCACATGATGGAGGGACTATAGCATTATTTGGTGAAAAATAAACTATGTGACTTCCATGCAGTGAAAACTTGAGTACCTCTGAACATTCACCACATATCAGTTTATGACATGCCCTTTTGAAAAGGATAAAATCTGCAGGTAGCTGCAACAGCTTGAAGCATTTAGGGCAAGTGACAAATGGAGCTCCACCTGCAACTGGCCTTTGATGTCTCTTAGCCAAGTTCTTTTTCTGCCTTAAATATTTCCTTAACTCAGGAGCCCTATGCCTCTGATCATTAGATTTTGTTTCATGTCCATATACTGGTGGAAGTTTTGTGAACCATTGTGGACTTGAAGGATAAGAATGATGAGAAAAAGAGCAACAATCTAGGCCTGGATAGGACCTATGTAACTCTTCATGATGGAAAAGAACATGCGGAGGCATATCTGCTGAGAAATGCTTTTCTTGGGAACAACAATGGTAACAAGAGTGATCAACATGGTGTGCACTGCTTGTTGCCTCAGCTGAATAAGGTATCCGTGAGAATTTATTGTGCCTTTGGTGCCAGTTGACTCCATGACTACATCTTCCATTACAAGAAGGGTAATTCAAACCATGAGCAAACCTTCTTCCCTCATGAAGGTCAAGGCTATGATATGGAGAAACATGATTTCCCTTGTAAGAGACACCCTTGGACAATCTTCCATTTGTTTCTCCACTCATGTAGCGAGTCCTGTTGAGTTGATCCTGCAACTTGTGAATCATTCTCCACAGTTTCACATTCTCTTGGTGGTCCTCAAAGGAATCAGGTGAAAGAAAGCTTGTGCTGTGGTAGAGCTCATCATGTATTTGGTATGAAGAGCCACCCCTTTCATAGTGAGAATGGGAACCACTTCTCTGGAAAGGAATTTTAGGTAGAAACTCATCTCTCTTTGTTCTCATCCAACGTCTATGACCATGTCTTGTAGTCTCAAGCACTTTGTTTTGAGTCCCTCTGTTTTCTTTCATGGCATGATGCTTTGCATTGGGCAAATGTGATTGATGTTGTGTTTCAAGGTCTCTAGGTAATGCGCTATTCACAACGCCTTTACCCTTTCTGATCCTTCCCTCAGAAACACCATGCTCAATGGTGTTAGTGTTGTCAAAAGAACCTGAGTTTTGGATAGATAACCGATCACCCATTCCATCATAAGAAGAGGGGCTTCCATCATAAGCATAAGAGCTTCTATTGGTTGGAGATTTAGACAATTTTCCAACACCACTAAGCTCTGAACTGTGATCAACTATTTCTGTGGTATCTGATATATCCATAGACCTTACACAGTTGGAGCCACGGTGAACATTCTTCTGAGCTTGCTTCTGTTGTTTATTAGAAGTTACATGATTAGAAGATTTAACTTCCTCAAGTTTACCAGGAGTAACATGTAAAATGCTACCACTATTTTCTCTACTTGACCTTTTAGTAGTAGAAGCACTTTCTTTAGTGTCCACTTCAGGTTTGGCACCCTCTACAGGTGATTCGTCATTGTTGGAATCTTCTCCATCAAATGCATGTTCTGCTCCCTCTAATTCCAATCTTTCACTGTTTAGCTCTTGTGCTATATTGCTTCCAGTGATCTCCACTTCAAGGTATTCACCAACTAAAGCTGATTTATCATTATTGGCATCTAATCCATCCAATGCAGAACTTAATTCCTCCTCTGCTCCTTCTTGTAATAAGTTTCCATTATTTAAGTCTTTTGCTCCTTCTGCATCACTTCCAGTACTTTGCACCTCAGGGTTTGCACCTGCTAGAGTTGATTTGTCTTTGTTGGCATCTTCTCCGCCTGATTCAGAAATTAACTCCTCTTCTCCTTCCAAATCACCTTCAGTAATTTCCTTTTCAGATTTCACCCCTACCAAAGATGATTTATCATTATTTCCATCTTCATCCCATGCAAAAGCTGATTCCTCTTTTGATTCTTCTAGTAAGTTTTCATCATGTATCTCCTCAATTTCAGAGTGAGTTATCTTATATGAAGTTGAAAATCCTTTGTTGGACACTCTATGCCTTCTGTGTGACAATTTATAGATATCCAACTCAGTTTCCATTCCTTCATCCGAAACAATACAAGGTACAAGCTGACCCACATTGCATTCACCATTTTCATTTTGACCCTTTCCAACATTTCCATCCAAGTGATATTCTCCCGAAGAAGTAGTTGTTTTTGTCTTCAATACATTTCTAGGAGCTGCATCAATATCTTGTATACTGGATTCTGAGTTCATAGACACACTTGTTCGTTTCTTAGCTGCATGGAGAAATATGAAAGGATTTGAAAACTTAGAGTATATATTGTATAAATTTACATGCACAGGTCTGTCAATAGATTACAGCAAAGTATTTGGTTCATAAAGGGGACATAAATAAGACATTTATATCAGTCAAGCAAGGAGAATAATGAACCATATTCGAAAAAAATTATGGTTTGAAAATGTTCATTGATCAATAACATAGGTTATGGTTAACCCAAATACAAAACTAAAGCTGATTTTCTTACCTCCAACAGAATATAATTTAAAAGTAAAATGGAATACAAAAATTAGATTTTTCACCTTGAAGTGTAGTGCCACATTCACCACACTTGTACAAAACACACCCTGGAGGCTCTGGAAGAAGTAGCTGGCATTTGGGACATCTAACTACCCGAAGTTTGGGAACCAATTCACCAGACATCTTACTCCAAATATGTAACTAATTACAGTCAAAAGATTGTGTCTTAGCCACAAATTTTACTCAGAAGTGTGTCAAAGACCAAGTGGACCAAATTCAGGAAGCAAAGCTCTCCCAACACAATCTGCATAAAAAAAACAAAGAAGAAAAGTTCAGCTTAAATTATTATAGAACAATATCTGAGTTAATTATGGAAAAGGGGAAGCAGCGCTTCTTTAGAAAAGTTCTCCTTTTAACTTATTTCAAAAAGTTTTTTCACATATATTATTAAAATAAGTTATTTTTTTTATCATCCTAATAAATTTTATGATTCAATTTTTTGTTTAAGCCATCATTTAAATAGAATTTATTAAATAAACATTTAATTAAGCTACGTATTTAAACGGAGTATGATATTGAAATAATTAAAAAATGTACCAAGCAACTACAAGATAAAAACTTCTTGGCCACATTTACGAAGTTGGGAAAAAGTGATCGTCGTGAGTCTTGAATCAGTTACTTATTCTATATATAACTTTTTACTAAAGCTAGACCAACTGACAACTGCTTGATTATATGTTTTCCAGAGTAGAAAATGTTCTTTAAAAGAAACATCTTGTAAAATCTGGAAACCATGACAATAAAACTATCCATTTCATCCTCTTCTACGTACTAAGTACACAATAAAACTAAGGATCTCATTGCTTATCAATTTATTTATATGTATTATTTTTTTAATCTTTGTGAATACACGGCCGAGTCAGACAATTATGCTGCCAGACAAGTGGAAAAACGACAAATGCACATAAAAAAGAAGTTTAATCTACACTGACAAACCCACAGCATATTTAAAAAGGAGAAGACAAAATTTTTATGAATACTAAGTAACCCACAACGTAATATATATATATATATAAGAAATACATTTTTTATTTATTTATACATACTTTATAAATACACAAAAAATGTCAATTTTTTTGTAAAAAATATAATAAAACTCGTAAAATTTTGGTTGTAAAGGAAAAAAAGGGGATGACAAGTTGAAAATAAAAGATGATGAGAAGAAGCCATTGACATGTAGAATGAAGGTACCTAGCTATAGCAACCATGATCGGATAGGTGCTTGGAGCTGACAAAAAATCTGCGCAAATAATTGAACATGAAAAGCTGGAAGAGAAGAAAGAACAAAACTTTAATTGGAGAGCGCCCTGAGGGGGTGCAGAGAGATGGAAAAATGAAAATTGTGAAGATGTTAATGAGGAGAGAGGAGAGAGGAGAGGAATTTGTTGGGAAAGTGAAGAAGCTTTTGCTTTGGCGCAAAGATTACGAGGAAATTAAGAATGTGAAAGAGAGAGATTGTTGGTGTTGGTGTTGGTGTGTGGAATTTGTAAGTAAGAAACAAGAGTCTTCCATTTCGTGTTTAGAAGGGTTTGTAGTCCACTCTGACCAAAACCCACAATCACTTGGGTTTGAATTTTTGTTGTTGCGCGTTCTCTGTGTGTGTGTTTGGTGTTTTGTGAACTGAAACTACCAACGACTGGGAGGGACCCAACAACCTGGAATACACGTTCGTTCCATATTCGAATGCAAGGAAGTCAGCGCTACCATTTATGGGTCCCATCTTGTTGACTGTGCTCACATTTCTTTTTCCTTCTATTTCAATGATTAAGAAAATTTTAAATTAATTTGATTAGTTAGAGATTGTTTTTAGAAATTAAATTGATGGATTTTGAGGTTAGTTTATTTTATAGAGTGAATTAATGGTTTATAAAAAAAACTATGGAAGTTTAATCACGACACAATATCTAATTATTATTATTAATGTAGCGTGTAAAAAAAATACCATTTAATGTACTCTTTATGGAATCTATGATTTCTAATTTTTTTATAGGATACAATCACTAAGTGTGTTATTTGTCCTAATTATCAAGAACAATGATCTATTTTTAAATATATTAATTATTAAATTTATTTTATACCCCTGTTCATTTAAAATATAATATAATATTATTATATATAACAATTTTTTATTAATAAATTAGCTACTTATTTTTATTAAAAAAATAAGAGGGAATACTTACTTTATTAATATTTTTAATATTAAATATGAGATTCTTTTCTTTTTGAAAATTTGTCAAGATCCTTTTGTAAGACCTATTGTAAGTTATTTTTTACATTCTTTTTTTTTTAATACCAAAAATACCTTAATTAGAGGAAAAGTTATTAAATAGATAAAAAGAAAGTAAGACAATTTTTTTAAGGGTAATTTTAAAAAAAATTTAAACTATGGATAAGTTTAATATTAGTAATGAAAATAATAATATTTTTGAATTTTTATAAAAAAAGTGAAAAAGGTTTGACCAAAATAATAAATAAAAGATATAATTTTTTTTAAAAATAATATAAACATGGGAGAAAGCAAATAAAAAATGAGTTAGAGATTAGGTCAACCTACATAACAGAGGTGGAAAGTTTCCAAATGGGTCAATCGCCATCTGTCATTATTTGTCATTCCTCTGAATCAAAACTTCCATTCAGATTACATGACCAAAAAAGAAAGAAAAAACAATAACACGTTTTTTCTTCAAAATTTCGTTTGAATTATTCAATTAGAACCTTTCTAGAATGGACCACAACTTTATTTAAGTGCAACCATAGACCATAACCACCCTTTTTATTTAATGTAAGCAATTTTTTTAAAACTACGTATATTAGCTCAATCTAAAAATATTATGAAGCAATAGAACAAATAATGCTAATGTTTTGGGTATATTACATTATCATTTTATGATAAATATTTAAACCTTATATATACACGTGTATGTATTTTTATTTTATTTTTTATTTGATTTTTAAAAAAATAATTTTACCATGATTTTTTTAAAATTTAATGTTTTTAATTTTTAATTATAGCGTGATTAACTAATAGGTTGTATGTGTCGCTTTTATCCGCTGCATCATTAATAAAAATTAAAACCATTAAATTAAAAAAAATATTATAATAAAATAAAAATAATTAAGTGACTAAAATCAAATCTCACATAAATATAATGATAAAAATATATTTAAGTAGTATTAAAATTACATTTTTTTAATTATTTCAATATTATTGAGTTTTTTAAAATGATTTTATTATAATGTGATACCCAACATTATTAATAATTAATTTTGTAATTTAAGAAGATGAAATAAAATTATAGATAAAGTTTGAAGGCCAATAATTAAGTGTTCAAGACTCTGTCTTATATTCTAAAGTCTAAAAACTATTGAGATTTTTAAAATTAATGAGTAGCATGTGTAATATATACGTATTTTAATATATATATATATATATATATATATATATCATAAATTATTTAAAATATTTTTTAAATTATTTAATTTAACTTTATAACTATAAATAGCATGTGTAACGAAGATTTAATATAATTATAATAAATTTAAAATATAAATTATTAATATATTAAGTATTATGAATTTGATATAAATAAAGACATTTTTAGAGGTTCTAAAAAAATATATATGTTTAGAGATCTTTGCAACCCCTCACAAAATTTAGAGTTTAGAATTTAGGAGCTAGGATTAGTGAATTTTTCAGAAGTTATTAGAAATTTTGACATGTACACAGTATAATTTATAAGATTGTTTTAAGATTTTAGTTCATAGGATTAAACATGGTCTCCTTTATCCTATTCCAAAAAATAATAATATAGTTTTGTTCTTTATAAATAGGATATTGATAATGTAATTGTTTTTAAAGAAGGATTCATTCTTTTAAAAAAATATTAAAGGTTGAAAAGTCTTCAAGCTAATTAACTTTAATTTAAAGACGACATAAGATAAAATTAATTAAAATTTTACTAAAAAAATCTTTCGAAATATGGTGTTAGATAGATCTATTCAGAGATCTATTTTTTTCTTATATTTCCTCAACTTCAATGTCTATTAATTTAGACTTTTCATATGTATTAGATAGGGTGACTCTTTTATCTCCTCATGCTTTTTTGTAATATGTATGAAAATATTATTTTATTGCATCCAACATAAGTTAAATATTAGGAGTGGAATCCTTTCTTCTTAATAGAAGAGGGCTTAAACTATCTCACTTGTTTTATGTTGATGGTCTTTTTTTTTAGGCCTTAATTAATTAAATTTTTTATATAATCTATGTTTAATTCTTTTTATGATGCTTTTGGCGAGTGTATTAATAAGAATAAATTTATTATTTATTTTTCTAGTAATATTAGCTTTAAGATTAGGATTATATTTAATCAGCAACTTGTCATTAAATTCTGTAATAATTTAGAGTCTTATTTAGGTTTTCTTGTTTTTTATTTTTGAAAAACTAAGGAGATGTATTCTAATTTCTTAGATAAGATTAAGAAAAAGTTATCATATTGAAAGACTAACTCTTTTTTCTTTGTTGTTATGGTAATTATTGGTAAGACGTGTATTATGAGTATCTCAAATATTATTATGAAAACTCACTTTATCACTATTGAAATTTGTGAGAAAATGAATAAAATTTGTAATAATTTTATTTAAGGGTTTTCTCATACTTAAAGGAAGTGTTATTTAATTGCTTTGGATAAAATTTGGTCTCCTAAAAAAGAAGAGATTTAAAATTCAAAGACCTTTAACAAAGCTTATATGGTTATTATATTAACTTCGAGACTTTGAATAATGTTATTTCTTTCAGAGATCATATTTTGAATTCTAAATATAAATTTGATTTTAATTGTATAATTGATAAAAAAAAAAAACTAATTATTTTGCTGCATGGAAAGGTATTTCGAAGTTTAAGATATTACTAATAAAGGATTAAAAATTAAATTCTAGCATGATTTTTAAATTCGTGGTGTTTTTTACTTAGCTTAGTGTGCCAATTTTGTTATTCTTAAGCATTTAATTAATCTTCCTGTTGCTTGTTTTGATAAAAATACTCACTAGAATTGAGATAAAATTAAATTTAATGTTCTCAAATAAGTTTGTGATCTTATTCTAAATATTATTTTTAATTTTAATAAGATGAAGTATATTTAAATTAGAGGGAAAGAATACATAATTTAAGTACTTTTAGCAGTGAAGAATATATCTTTAAAGCATATGGATGAGTAAGCAATATTAATGTTCATAGTTATAATTGTGTTATAAAGAGGGTATATTAAAAAATGACATTATAATTGTTTCGTAAGTAAAAAATAATAATGATAATAATAAATTTAATAAAAACTATATAAATATACATGCTTGAATTTAATTGAATTTAGACACTCAATATTTCCTGAAGCTATAAATTGAATTCAACTGGTAAATATTCTTTTGGTGCGAAATAAAGGTATTTTTAGTTGACAGTCAAACACTAATATCTTTGAAGCATTATTGTTAGTATTATAAAAGTGGGATTTTTCTCGTCAACAATTTTTTTTTTTATATGCGTAACTAACTTAAAGAAATTATAATAATATATTTTTATTTATTAATTAAATTTTATTAAACAGTATACAAATTATGTGTATTTTACTTTTTTTCTCTTTAATACTATTTTTCTCTCAAACTTTTATAATTATAATAAAATTTAGCTAATAACAAAAAAAGTGTTTTAAAAAACATGTACCTAACACTTCTTCTAAGAATAATGAACCATATTTAAAATATACACCTCCCTCATGTTGAGACGTTAATTGTGCTTGTTTCTAAGAATGTCGTTCCCACTAATCTTTGAGAATTCAAACCGATTAGTTTTTGCAATGTGTTTTTTAAGTTGATAACAAAAGTTTTTGTTAATAGATTTTGCCCTTATTTGCCTTCTATTATTTGTCCTTTCCAGAGAAGTTTCATGCCTAATATAGGTGCATTGTGGATAATGTTATTACTGCCCAAGAGATTATTCATTGCATGCATTAAAAAAAATGCTTACCTTCTTTTTAAAATTGATTTTGAAAAGGCTTATGATAGGGTTGATTTAAATTTTCTTAAACTTACTCTTCATGATTTTGTCTTCCCACCCGATCTTATTATGAATTGTACCAATGCCGCTAACGTCTGTTTAAAGGGGAACAATGAGAAGTTGGACAATTTTCAACAAAAGAGGGGCCTTAGGCAAGGAGATCCCTTGTTCCATATCTCTTTTTACTTTGTATAGAGGAATTGGCCTTGTTAATTCATGATAAAGTTCAAGATTATGAGTGAAAACCTGTCAAAGTTTGCTCAGATGGGCCTCCAGTGTCCCACTTATTTTTTGCTGATGTTGCCTCTTGTTTGTAGAAGCAAAATTATCTGAAGTGTGTATCGTTCAAAGAGTATTCCATGATTTTTGTCATGCTTCTGGCCTCAAAGTAAATGTGCATAAATCTCATTTTATGAGCTCCTTTAATACGACTTCTGCTAAGGTCAGGAAATTTACAGCATCATTGGCTAACAGCACACATGTAACCTGAGAAAATATTTAGGATTTCCACTGTTAACAGGAAGGGTCAAGAATT